GCGATCTTTTGCGAGCCATGCCAAGGTCTGAATCTGGCTCCTGGTGAACTGATCGAGCTCGTCGCGCCCGTATACGGTCTGAACGATGCCCCGTTATTGTGGCATAGGACCCTCACCGATTACCTTGTCACGGACGGCTTCCAAAAATCGTTGCTTGAACCTTGTCTGTGGGTTAAGCGTTCCAGCACGGGGGCCCCCAGAGCGATTTGTCTCATCGAGGTCGATGACCTCATTATAGCTGCCCATCCGGAGGAAAAGGACGGGCTCAGGTCTCGCCTTCAGTCTCGTTTCAATTTCGGGAAGTGGAAGATTGGGGAATCTGATTTCGCTGGGCGCCATCTGAAGCAGGTCTCGGGGGGAAAGATCCTGGTCGACCAGGGGAAATACGTGCTTGATCAACTCGCGCCTATGAGGCTCGAGAAACACCGACGAGCGGACCCCTCCTCCCTCCTGACCCCCGAAGAAGCGAAGGGATATCGCACCATGGTGGCGCAGATCCAATGGCTTGCTCGGGAAACCAGACCGGATGTGTCCGGAGGAGCCTCGTTGCAGTCAGCCGCACTTCCAGCCCCCACCGTGGAAGATGCTCTGGTGCGCCTTAAGATCGTGAAACATCTGAAGGCCACAGCCTCGCAGCATATAGTGGTGTGGCCCCTGGACCCGGTGTCTTTGACGTTTGTCACTATCTCCGACGCTGGTGGTCCGGGTTCGGCTCGTCGGAACGGGGCCCAGGGAGCGTTTCTCGTCGTCGCGGCGGATTCGGAGATTCGTCGGAATCGCCGTGCTAGAGCCTCGCTCTTGGCCTGGAGATCGACCCGTCTGAAAAGAGTCGTGTCGTCCACCAGCGCCGCCGAGACTCTTAGTTTGTCGGCCGCGCTCGCAGAAGCGCAGTGGCTCCAAGTGATGTGGAGGGATCTGGTCTTTGCCGATGTGGGTAGGCCCGACTGGCATCTTGCGTCGGCACCTTTTTCTGTCGTCTTGAGCTCTCAGTGCACTCTTGCTCATGACGTCTCCTCTCTGTCAGTTGTAGACGCCAAGTGTGTGTTTGACACTCTCAGTAAGAACAGTGCTGGCTCGAAACAAGATCGTCGCACGTCGATCGAGCTTGCCGTAGTGAGAGATGCTATGTGTGCCGTAGGTTCTCAGATCAGATGGGTCCCTCATGGCCGAATGGCGGCCGATGCACTCACGAAGGCGGACCCCGGCCGAGGAAATCTTGCGCTGTCCGACCTCCTCTGCCGAGGTACCTTGTGCCTTATCGATGAAGACGGTCACTTGTCCGAAAGGGCTCTCAACAACTCCCTGAAGTGCCGATCGAGAACGGCTTCGAGGAAGGAGCTGGCTCGGGAGAGCGAGGAGAGGTCTCTCGAGGATCCGGTTTATTGCGAGATATCCGGGGTGTCTCGGGGGATCGGTGATGTTTCGGGGCCCCTGTCGGTCCCACTGAAAGTGGTCCCGCTGTTCTCATTTTCCTCTCCTCCCCTCGCCTCTTTGTGACCGACAGTGGTTACGCAGCCAATTTGGCTTTGGGGCGCGCTCGCGCCAGAGGACTGAATGTACGTGCGATCTCACACACTTGGTTGAGAAAAGTGTTTCCCTCTAGGCCTTTCGGCCCTCCCTGCCCCCGATGCCTGCTGACATCATCATCAGCATCATCATTACCATCATCATCGCCATCACCAGCATCATCATCATCATCAGCATCAGCATCATCATCATCATCACCATCATCATCACTATCATCATCATCATCATCATCATCATCATCATCATCATCATCCTCATCATCATCGACAGGCACGCGCTGCGCCGTGAAGTGCTCGCTGCCTTCATCAGGAAGCTCTGGAGAGACGTTGCTGGCCGCGATCCTGTGCTCGGCCACCTGGGCGGAGGCGCCGCCGTCAACGGGCTCAGGCGCCACCTCGGGCGCTCCCACACCACCCCCGCGCTGGCGGCGAGGTGGTCGTTGGCAAGGAACGCCATCGTCGGGTGCCTGTGGCCAGTCCAGCGCCGCGCTGCAGCCGAGCCCCCGGTTGCGAGCTCGGGGCGCTGCCCTGCCGGTTGCGCGGAGCTGGGGCTGGTCAGGCACTTGGTATGGGCCTGCCCAGTGCTGGACAGTCTCTGCAGGCAGTGGAGGCTGGACGACCAGAACATCAACTACTTCCTCAACTCGGGCGGCCCGCTGGAGGCAGACGTCGAGCACGCCATCTGGTCGCGCTGCCTGGTCAAGGACCCGCGAAGCGACCAGCAGCTGCCCCTCTCGGTGCGGATGATTCGCACCGCAGGGCCCCGAGCGGGCGAGCCCCTGCACGGCGAGGTCTTCCTGGACGGGTCGGCCTTCCAAATCCAGGACCGCGTCCTGGCGCGCGCTGGCTGGGCGGCTTGCTCCACCGGCCACATGGGCGTGGAGATCTCCAGCATCTTCGGGCCAGTTCCCTGGCCATGGCCGCAGGAGTCGGCTCGGGCGAGCTGCTGGCCGCGGTGGAGGCGCTGGCCCATTGCCTCCCGCCGATCCACCTCTTCAGCGACTCGCAGCTGCTGGTCGACGGCTGGGAGGCGGGCGAGGAGTGGTGCACGTGCTGGAACCGCCCCTACAGGCAGCTCTGGATCTCCTTCTGGTCTAGAGCTCGAGACGTGGGCATCGACGTGATCCAGATCACGAAGGTCAAGGGCCACGCCACCATGAACGATGTCTACCGAGGCGCCTCGTCTGAGTGGCAGAAGAGAGGCAACCGTGTTGCCGACGCTCGTGCCAAGGAGGGCGCGAGCTGCCATCCGTTCTGTCCCGCGCTCGCCGAAGCCGCCGCGCTCGCAGATGAGTGGGGTGTCAGTCTTGGGCGGTGGACGGGGTTGGCGCTTCAGGAAGGCGACGGGTGGCTTCGGGCGAGCGACGGCCATTCGGCCCCAGGGTTGCAGGCAATTCGGTGTTCGGTGGACGGGCGTTGCCAGAAAATGCTTGTGGCCTGCTCGTCTTGCCATGCCAGGCCCTGCAGCAGGCACGGCTCATCGATTCTTCCTCCGACGGTAGGCCGCGCGTGGAGCTGCGCCGACTGCGCGGCGCGCGGCGCGCCCTTCCCCGGTTTTCCCCCCCCCGCCCCCGCCGCCGCCGCTCTCGGGCGGAGAGGGGCAACAAGGCAGGCCCTCCGCCGCGTTCGGCCTCGCCCTCGGCCTCAGCGCGGCGGGCGCCGCCGCGGCAGGGGGGTTGGGAGGGGCAGGGAGCGAGGAGGAGAAGCAGCAGCAGCAGCAGCAGCAGCAGCAGCCAGCGCAGGGCAGCAGGAGTAGCAGCAGTCAGCCAGCCTCTGCCAATGCAGGGGTCCAGCCACCAGGGGGGCAACCACGCTCGGGGGGGACGGGGTCCTGGGGCCCGCTCGGTCTGGAGTTGCTCCCCTGGTGGAACACGCGACGCGATAGTTCTCACAGGGTGTACCGTGCCAGCGGCCTCGCCTTCTGCGCGGTTTGTGGAGCGTACACCCAGTCGGCGAGAGTGAAGGGTTTTGTTGAGCCTTGTCCTGGACGGCCCGCGTCAGAGCGGTTTCGGGACGGGCTCCGCAGAATAAAGCGCGGCCTGCACCCCACCCGAGGTGGGGCAGCGGCCGACCTCGGCGCCCCAGTGGCCCTCCCTCGGCGAGATCGGTCGAGGTCGAGAGGGCATGAGGTAGCGAGAGGGTGAATGTAGCAGTGCGGGGGGGCATCAGCGGCTCGGCGGTAAGCCCCCAGGGAGGACGTGATCATCATCATCACCATCATCATCATCATCATCATCATCATCATCCTCATCATCAGCTGCAGCAGTAGCATGATCAGCAGCAGCAGCAGCATCAGTATCGTCATCATCACCACCACCACCTTGTCATCATCATCACCACCACCACCATCGTCATCATTATCAGCACCAGCAGCATCAGCAACATCATCATCATCACCCTCACCTTCACCATCAGCATCATGATCATCATCATCATCATCATCATCATCGCCATCATATCCATCATCATCATCGCCATCATCAACATCACCATCATTATCAGCATCAGCATCATCATCAGCAGCAGCAGCATCCGCATCATCAGTATCGTCAGCATCACCACCACCATCGTCATCACCATCAGCATCAGCAGCATCAGCATTATCTTCTTCAGCATCATCACCATGGCTCGTTCGCTAGCCTGGCCGTCTTACTATATCATTCCATGTTATTAGTCGCCCTCCTTTCTTCTCCCTCCTCCCTGTTCCTCCCCCCTTCTTCCCCCCTCCCGCGCTTTGTGCGACACGCCGGCGTCCATCCAGCAATTCTTCGGCCAGGTGTTGATTTCTTCGTCCCGTTGTTCATTCGACAGGTCCGCTTTTCCTGTCTTTCCGCTTCCGTTCTTGTCCCCCCGTTCCTTCCTCACGCCGTTTCACCGATACGTCCTGGGGTGAGTTCGTATCGTGTAGAGTTTTGGTGCCTAAGACGGGGGGCAAACCAAACACGTTAAGAACTTAGGTTTGCGTGTTGGCTCCGTTGGTGCAGTAGTTTTTCTTTTTGCTCCCCTTTTCCCCTTCTCTCCCTGTTCCTGCGGCCCGAATTTCGGCCACGTTCGCAGGACAGCCTCCGTCCGTCTCCTGTGCATTTGTGGTGTCGCTGCACGTTGCTTCGTTTCTTCGCCGCTGTTCGGCCAAGTGGCATGGGCCACTGCGCCGCGGTGGTCGTGTTGTCGTTCTTCGTCCGAGGCCCTGGGGCCCTGCTGGCCCTCTTGAGTTCCCTGCAGGGAAAAATCATCATCATTATCATCATCATCATCATTATCATCATCATCATCATCATCATCATCATCATCATCATCATCATCATCATCATCATCATCATCATCATCATCATCATCATCGTCATCGTCATCGTCAACATCATCCGTCCACTCCCTCGCTGCTCCCCCGCGCCCCCTTTCATCGGCACGCTGCCGGGCGCCCCCGCGGCGCCGGACTTCACCAGCTGCCATCCCCCAGCAGCGGCGGCCCGAGAGGCGGACGACAGCCTCTCGGAGTCCCGCGGCTTCCGCCGCTGGTTCGGCGCCGGGGGCCGTCGCAGCCGGCAGGACGCCCGCCGCGGCTACTGGCCGACGGCAGTCGTGGCGGCGGCAGCGTCGTGGTCGTCCGCGGCGGCGGCGGCGATGACGGCGGCGAACAGGACGACCTCGAGGATGCGGGATCGAAGGTTCGGGCATTTTTGGGAGCCCTCTTGAGCGTGCTGGGGCGCCCCCGTTCTGATGCGCTCAGCACGCTGGAGGTCTGGGGTGGACGGCTGAGGGAAACGGGTCCCGAAAATTCCAGGACCCGTTAACTTGAGTCGTTTTCTGACGGCGGGGCCCGTGGATGGTGAAAATCCTCCGGATCCGCTTCTCTCAGGACCCGCTTCCCCCATGATGAAGCACGCTGGAGGTCTGGGGTGGACGGCCGGCACCCTCTGGCCGCCATGCCCGGACGACTCGCGGAGGCGCGCGGCGGCGGCGAGGTGCGCTCGTCGCCGTCGCCGCCGCGCCTCGGGGGCAGGCAGGCCGCGCGGCGGGGGGCGGCCGCCGCTGCCTTCGGCGACGTCGTCGCCGTCGTCGTCGCCCGCACAGGAGAGCTCCGAGCTGGCCTCGCCCGCCCTCTCGTCCCTGCCCGCGCGGTCGCCCGCCACCTTCACGGCGGACGGGCGCGCCCGCGCGCGCCGGCTGGCCCGGGTGTCGGGCGAGGAGGAGGAGTCGCCATGCTGGAGACGGGGCCTGAGGGAAGCGGGTCCTGAGGTTGTGCACAGATTTTGGCCTCCCGGGGCCCTCCACGGGCTCCGGGACCGTCAGAAAACGATTCAGAATGAAGACCTGGCATTGGGAGAAGGCCCCAGGGTCCAGGACCCGTTTCCCCCAGGACCCATCTCCCACATGCACATGCTAAGGCTGGCGGCAGGACGAGGAGGAGGAGTAACGGAGGCAGCAGCATCCCCAGACCCCCTCGCGCAGTGAGAAAAGATCGCGGCGGAATGGTTGCGCTGTCTCCAGCCTCTGGCGGCCTTTGAGGGCCCTCGGCGGCCCCAAGGGCTGGGAAGAAACGACCCAGGTTAAAAACCGGTCTTTGGGAATTGGTCGAGACCTCCAGGAGTCGACGCTTTGTGGGAAAAAACAGGACGCCGGGGGTCTGAGTCGGCAGGAGAAGCAGGGAAGGAAAAGGAGGAGGATGAGGAGGAGGGGGAAGGAGGAGGAGGATAGGGTACGGACAGAACAAACCGGCAGAGATAAAACAAGTTGTCTGTGTTGTCCAAGTGTTTGCAGCGAGTCCCGTCACCATGACGGCGCGGCATGGAGGTGGTTCCAGGATGGCTTCACAATATTTCCATTACGTCTCCACCATCGCTCTACTACGGCCCTTCTATGAGCCTCCAGGGCGTACTCGGGTTGCCTTGGGCGCGGTAGTTCGACCGAGATCTTTCGAAGAAGAATTGCGGAACCGTCTTCGAGCTGCCCGGCAGGGTCTTGGGGCTGTCTCTGCCAGGTCTTGGGTTGATTTGGGGGCGTTTTGGGCATGCGTTGGGCCGTCCTGGGGCAGTGGGACGTTTTGTGGCCATCCTTGGGTTACTTCGTGCCTCTTGGGAGGCGCTTGAGGAATGTCTTGGGAGGATACTGTATTTTGACACTCCTAGCAGTCAGTCTCTTAAGGCGGACAGGGCGACGGGCAGAAGCAGATCAAACATTGAAGTGGATCGTTTTCCTTCTGGGCATCCTCTCGGAAAACTTGCCAGATGTCTCGTTAGTCAGTCCTGAAGCTTGCAAGTAATGGTTGGGGCTCTGCTGCGCTCTCTTGAAGGTCCTTGGGGGGTCTTGGGACCATGTCTCCTGGCGCCGTGTTGGGGCGTTGTTGGCGCCTCTTGGAGGCGTCCTGGTTTATGCTGACTCGCTGGGCAGCGCCAGGGGCAAGAAGTGCATGAGCAATTTTCTTCGACGTGCCGCGGGCAGCAGGGAGGGGACCCCCTTACAAAACAAAAGAAATCCTGCAAGAGGGCCCTGGTGCACTTGGACATGCCCCAGTCTGCCAGAGGGCACGGTGGCGCATTGGTGGTAGGTGGTAGGGGGCATCTTCGAGGCCACCCACTCCACAAAAACAGATCTCGCGTTTCGCGTCGTGTGCGTCATGCGTGCGTGCGAAGATATGTGTGCGTTGTGAGCCAAATTTGGGGCGCCGGCGTCATGCTCACCCTCAGGTGGTTTGTCCAGCGGAATGTTCCGTGCTGTCCTCTAGGGCGTCCTGTGCCCCAATTGCGGTGCCCAGCGTTGTCATGCCTTGGTGTTCGCCGAGGTCTCCATTGTGGTGTGTGTTGGTTCGTTGCTGACTCGCTGGAGCTACACGAATGAACTAGAATCGAAATCAACGCTAGATCTAGATATAGCCAAAGCTATCGAAGTGCAGGGGAATTTCAGGCTTAAACTGAGGATATGTACAGTAATGTCATCCATATGTCGAAGAGGAGTCGAAGTTGATCCTGCTGGTGTACAAACACGACGTGGGCGAAGGTAGTGTAACGATACATACGCTGCGCTAGCGCAGGTAAGCTAAGCGGTGGCACGCATGTAAGACAGATGACCACAATGTAGACCTAGTTGGGCCAGTCATGGAATCAACTGTGTGGGTAACTCGGATTCGCAGGCTCAGTCCAGCCAGACCACAAACATTCCCCACGGTAAGCTGTGACAAACCATTGGAGGGCAACATAAGTTGAGCCAAGGTACGTTCATGTGACATGCACGGAGCTGATACACGCGCAACTCAGAGTTGGCGCAGGTGTTTCTGACAAGTCAGCTGAGTGTTAGGCTAAATGTCTTGTGAAGTACGCTGAACTGCGGCATGCTGAAGTTGCGATGGCGAAAGTACGGGTGAGTTGATTTCCAGCTTTTGGGAACGGCGCCCACGTGCGGGCACCGGCGGAACACTCAAAAGCGCCAGCCAGCGCGGGGCTGCCACGAGGGTCACCGGGCGAACACTCAGAAGCGTCAGCCGACGCTCGGGGTGGCATCGACGCGCGCACGGGGCGGCCACAAGGCGCCCACGGGCTGTGAGGCCAGAAGCGCAGGGCAATGACTTAACACCTGGGTAATAGCCATTCCGTGCAAGCATTGTTTCGGGCATGTCTTTGGCGAGGCCAAGTTGAAAGGCGTGTTGGGTCCAGCCCAGGTGCTGCAAGTTCAGGCAGCTCACGAGAACCGTGCAACCGTCACAAAGTTGACTAAATCTCAGGTGCGGCAACGCAAGCCTGCGCGCGTCAGTAAAAGTGAAGGGAAGCCACGCCAATGCTAAGTCAATGTCAAAGGAGCCTGGCAACGCAAGCAAAGGCAGATCAGGCGAGCCAAGGCACTCCATAATTACACAATTTCGCATCGACGCTGGTACGCGACATGCTCTTGTTTCGTGTCGCTACGTCGGCAAAGCAGCGCCCAGCCAAGACGGGCAAACATTGAATGAAGTCCAAGGACTCCCAGATGAGGTAGGCTGAGCTGCGCTGGGCGAAGGTGGAACGAACGTAGACCGCGGCCACCTGCAAGCCCGACCTCACCAGCGGACGCAGGCCGTCCATTCAGCTAATGCAGATAGGGAGACAGGTAGAGACAGGGGCAATTGTAAAGCAGAGGCAGTAGCAGACACAGAGGGGAGAATCCCCCAGTAAAAAAACGTAGAGAAAGCAGGCGAACGGACATGCTGCCACTGGCGGAGGCGGGAAGGTTGCTAAGAGGGGGCATGTGAAGAAACCCGTTGGCAGAGGCGGGGCCCTCTGCGAGTACCTCGCAAAGCTGGGCAGAACCTTCCTTCCGACCTTACGCTGTCTTCGTGGCGTGCCCCCCCCTCCCCCCCTAGGGGGATCTCGACCCCTTCCCCTGGGCCGGCGTTTTCATTGTTCCGCGCGAAGGCGCCGCCCCTAGCTCCGCGTGCCAGGGAGGGATACTCAGCGCCGATCCAAAAAATCCGAGCGGAGCTCCTACACGCTTTGTTTATGCAGTTGTTGTTTCTTCCATTTTCTCCCTGAGTCGCTTGCGAAGGCCTGGGGTCAGAAAACGGCCTTCCATGTAGCGCGAGGACGTCAAATAACCGGCCGCCGCGACTTTCTACACGACGCCAGATCGTCGCGGACGTCCAAGAGGAGGGTGGAGACTGGAGGGGTGTGGAGATCATGGCCAGGGGCATGCTACTTCCCAGATGTCACTGCCCCCCGCCTCGTCCGCCCGCATGACCTTGGCCCCCGCCTCGTCCGCACACATGACTCGGGCCATGATTTGCTAACTCCCGTCTTGGACGCCCCCGAGATCTGAGGGATGACTGAGGGGGCGGGGCAGGGGGGAGGAGAGGGGAGAGAAGGAGGAGGAGGAACAAGAGTAGGAGGAGGAGGAGGAGGAGGAGGAGGCACATCGTGCTGCCATATCATGACACGGCATTGGCATTGTAAGTTGTCATCTAAGGAGGAAGAGGAGGACAAGGAGGAGGAAGAGGAGGAGGAAGAGGAGGGGAAAGAGGGGGGAGGGGGAGGACAAGCTAGGTACGCTCGCGTCATGTCTGACGTTATCTTCCTCCTATCCCTTACCATAGTGTAGATCCTTTCTCTATTCGCACAATCGGATGTCGCAGCATGGCATAGCATTACATGACATAGCATGGTTTTGAAGATCAACGCGCAGCATGACATAGCATGGCGTGGCGACGCCCAAAATTGGCGGGGGGCTTCTGCGGCCCAAAGAATCAGCGAATCCACACCGAATGTGTAACCACTTCCGATGGTTTCTTCGGGAAACCGTTTTTTAAGATTTGGGGGCCTACTTGGAAGGACAGAAGCCATGCCGTGGCATGGCACTGGAAATAATGACGCCAGCTCTGCAGCGGGAGCACGATTCGGCGGAAGCGCGGAAATAAGACCAGCGTTGCAGCGTGAGCACGATTCGGAGGACGCGGAGCCTGACATAGCATGGCGTGGCGACGCCCCAAAGTGGGGGGGGTGGGCTTCTGCGACCCAAAAATCAACGAATCGACATTGAATGTGTAGTCAGGGAGGGGGAGGAGGAGGAGGAGGAGGAGGAGGAGGAGGAGGAGGAGGAGGAGGAGGAGGAGGAGGAGGAGGAGGAGGAGGAGGAGGACGACGACGACAACGACGACGACGACGACGACGACGACGACGACGACGACGACGACGAGGACGAGGACGAGGACGAGGACGAGAACGAGGACGAGGACGAGGGCGGCGGGGCAGAGCGAGCGGACGCCGAGAGCGAAGGCGGGCACCGCGCGCTCGCGAGCCGCCCGGCCGCCCGCAGGTGCAGCACGGTGGACGGCACGCCCGGGAGGCCCCGCCACCCGCCCGCCCCGGTGCGCGAGCCACGGAGGGGCACGGGCGCGAAGGCTTCGAGGAGAGGCCTCGCAGGGGCAGCGTCAGGCCTGAACATTTCGGACGGTCTCGTCGGCTCCTGGGCGCTTGACAGCCTCAGGGACAACGATAGGGGGGGATCTGCTCGAGGTTCGAGGTTTTCGGGCGTTTTCGTCGGTTCCCTGAGGCTCCCCAGCCTCGGGATGCCTTCCAGCAGCTGCGCCTCGCCGAGGGCGTTCTGGAGGTGCCAGGATCGCCCCGAGCGGCCGCCGGAGACCCGAGCTAATTGTGGCCCGAACACCGAGCCCAGTCAGCCTTAGGGGCGATAGGCTCAGGGGGGAACGCATCGACCCCGATCGCTCACTCATCGCCGATAGGGGCGCGATAGCCCGCCCCGCCCAGGACCGTGCGGTCTCGCTATCGGAATCCGATCGGCGGTGCATCGCAGATTGCAGGACGACGTTTCCCCCCTGAGCCGGTCCCTTCGTACCGTTGGCCCTCAGTTTGGGGACCCTCAGGTCCCAGAATCCCACCAAAAGCATCCACGTCCAGAATTGACGTACGGCCCGAGGGCAGCCTGCGAAGGCTATAGCGTAGCAGATCCAGCGCGTCCAACCGTGTATACATATTCAATCGCATGTTATCTGAATCCCCTTGTGTAGCACAATCCTATTCTGTTGAGATACATATTACATCGAGTGCCCATTATGTTGTATTACAATGTCATCCCTTACCACACACACACACACACACACGCACACACTCACACACGCACACACCACACACACACACAACACACACACACACACACAACACACACAACACACACACACACACACGCACGCACACACACACACACACACACACACACACACAGACACACACACACACACACGCACGCACACACACACACACACACACACACACTCACACACTCACAGACACATATACACACACGTTGACCTCTCGCGGCAAAGCCTTCCCAACGCTCCAGAACGCATAACATTTAATGGGCAATACATGGATTCGGCTTCTTGGGCACCTTGAGGGTCGAAGAGGGCCTCGAGACGGCTCTGGAGAGTCCCATGATGGTCCCAGCACAGCCCGAGAGGCCCCCGCGACGACCCAAGAGGCCTCCAAGACGGCCCAAGATGGCTCGAAGAGGACCCCCAAGAGGGCTCTCAGAGGCAAAAGTTATACTCCCATGTGGTTTGTTGATTGATGTTAGTGTTCGCACCTTCTAGGGTTCTAGGGACTCTGGCACCACAAGACAGCTCCGGAGGCTTTCAAGATGGCAGCAAGACGGCCCAAGAAGCCCGCAAGATGGCCCCAAGACGGCCGAAGAGGACCCCAAGGTTGCCCAAGGCGGCCTGGCCCCAGTGGGCCCTGCGCCGAGGCGGGGTTAGGGAACGAACCCGGCTGGATGCTCGCACATCCTTCTTCCAGGGGGCGTTCATAGTTCGCTATGACCCCGCCTCTGCCCCATACCCCACCTGAACGCCCCTCCAGAACAAACCCATCCTCTGCGGTGGCAGCAGCAAGGCGCAGCCGCGGGGAGGCGCGATCTTCCCTCCCCTCGCCAACGATGCGTGCCAACGTCCGCTCGGAGACCGACGGGAAGCGCCAGCAGAAGTCGCAATCGCACGCGCGGCGACCGCGCTGAGAGCCCAGGCCGTGCTCCTGGGGGGGCACCAAGGCGGGGAGGCGGGCGGGAGAGGAGGCAGCCCAGGACTGCAGGGCGGAGAGGCGCAGTGCCTCGGGGGCAGGGCGGCGGAGGTAGTAGCTCAAGCTTCCGACTTGCTTTGTTTTCAAGAGGAGTTGCAACCGATATATATATATATATATATATATATGAGCAGTTATCGGGACGATTGTAACATAACACTCGGAAACCGAGAAAAGCCGCATCCTTTCGTAGATCTCTTTGTGGTTCAAATGTTTCTTCCCTCTTGAGAGAGGGGGTGAGGTCCAGGCGCCCCTCCTTCAGCAGGACCTTGCCTCGAGGTTTTGGCGTGACCCGTTCATTTCCTTGTCCAGGTTGCACGCCCTCAGACATGGTGGACGCTGATGGGGAGGAGGAGGTGCCTGCCGACCTCGCGGCTGTGGAGCCCGTGGCCGCCGCCCGCGGGCTCCCCGTGCAGGTGGGCCGTCTGTATCGCTGCACGGCGTTCGACTCAGAGTCGCGGCCGCAGGGTGAGTACCTCATCCAAGTTGTAGGCGCCTACCCGCCCGACGAGGAGGGCCAGTTCGCACGGGCCGAGCAGATCTGCTGCAGCGACGGCTACTGGGCCTGGTGGATGGCACATCCCGTGGAGCGCGGAGGAGCAGGCCGACCTCTCGATCACTTCTGTACGGAGGAGATGCGCCTAGCCTCGCCGAGCGCCTCGCGCGGGACACTGATTCACGTCTCGGAGTTTGAGGAGGTCGACGCAGCAGAGGCGTCGGAGTTCTATCTGGAGTGCAAGGCGGTGGACTCTTGGGCTAAGTGGCCAGAGGAGTTCGGGCCTGAGCCTACTGGAGAGGCGGCGGCTCGCGAGTCGACGGAGGACGCCCTGGACGAGTTCGGCATGCCGCTCGACAGTTGCGTGGTTCAGGACACAGCTGCCCCTGCCTCAGGCTCGCGCCCCAGGGCGGCGCCAGCGCACGTTGGCAGCCGCCAGCCCGCTGCCCTGCAGGCTTCGCCGCTGGCGGGGGCAGGCGCCCGCCTGTCAGCCGCGGCGCCCCCTGCGCGCGAGGCTGGCGACCTTCGCGCTCGGCTCGATCGGCTTCGCGGGGCGCTGCAGCCAGCCCCTGGGGGAAACAGCCGACGGAGAAGCTGCGCGAGGCGGTGGCTGGAGCAGCCCCTGCGCGCGGCGGAGCAAAGCGGCCGCTGGCGGAGGTCGCACAGGACAGGGCCGGCAAGAGGCGCGCGCCCGAGGTCCCAGCGGAGGCGGCTCCGAGCGCCGAGAGCGGTGGCGCTGGCGCAGGAGGCGAGGGGCCTCTTCTCCAGTTGTCGCTCGAGGCGGCGGCCAGCAGGAGCGGCAATGGTGACGTTTTGCAGTCAGTTCTTAGTGGCGCCAGCGGCAGCAGTGAGGGGGCTGTCCCGCGAGGTCTCGCCTCTCGTCGAGGTCATTTTCGCCAGATTGCCGCCAAGTTCCCAGGGCTTCTCTCGGAGCAGGCGCTGGCCAAGATGAGTGAGTACGTCACCACGCAGGTTGGTGAGGCGGAGGGGGAGGAGTTCCCACCCATCTTCCTGAAGTACTTCTTGAATGTCTTCATCCCTCAGAACCCCATCAAGTCGATCGGGATTGGGGTCTACCGCGAGATGAGGACAGTTTGCGAGGCCGCCGATGCCATCCTCTCGGGCAAGACGGCCTACGCCTTGGACGTGCTGAGTCAACGGTTCAAGGCGCTTCAGCTCTTCGCTGTGGACAAGAGTTGGTCAGGTGCTCGCTGGCTGGAGCTCATCCCGCCCTCGAACGAGCAGCTTGCGCTCAGGACGGAGGATGAGGAGATCGTGCGCACAGTCGAGCTGGGCGAACTGCGCCTCGAGGAGCTGCTGTCCAAGCTCAAGCGAGGCTAGGGGTCAGGCCGGGAGAGGGAGCCGCCGAGGGGCAACTCCCTTCCTGTAGGCCAGACTGGCGGGAGCCAGGGCAAGGCGGCACACCAGCTGCCTGCGCCTCGGACGCCTGCGGACCTCGTCAAGGATCTACCCCTGCCAGCAGCACCAGCAGCAGCAGCAGCCCGCCGCCCTGCCCCAGGGCCGCAGCGGACAGCGCAGCTGCGCGAGGACGTCTCGAAGGAGGCGACGCCGAAGGAGGTCTCCTGGAAGGCCATCAAGGACGCCCACCCGAAGAGGCAGGGCGAGACGCGTGGAGCCCACGGCATGCGCCTCAGGAAGCTCACGCAGGAGGCTCGCGGGCGACAGGACCGACCCGCGAAGTAGGCCGCGAGGCAGCGCTGAACACTGACGCGCAGCCTCGCTGGCCCGAACACTTGCAGGTCTGCACTGACTTGACCGCGTGGAGGGCAGCTGTGACTCGAGCTGTACCCGCCACGCCGCACTTACTGGACTTGGGCATCGCCATCGTCGCCTTGCAGTGGCAGCACCCAGGCCGCCTTGGAAAGTTTTGCCGTGAGTTTCGTCCACACCTTCCCACGACTGGAGGGCCGCAGGTAAGGACGCGTGACCTGTTGCCGATGGCCCTCCCCGACCTTACGCTCACACGAGCATGGGTCGCATCTCAGGACGGACCGAGAAGGAAGCGTCAGAGGTTCAGGATTGAGGGGCGCTTAGTCGCCAGAGAAGTTTGGTCAGATATAGTGGTGCTGTCTCTCAACTTCGAGTACGTTGGTCGAGGTGACCCTCGTCTGTGGAGACACTCGCCAATGCTACATCTTGCCCAGCGGTCCGCCTACAAGACCATCATCTCCCACGTTGACGGCTTCTTAGATGACCCGCTGACTCGTCGGCCTGACATCGACTGGTCCCAGAAGATCAGCAAGCTCAGGGTCGACTACACTGGTGAGGAGCAGGGCGAGGCCTTGCCCATCAAGCTGGCGGAGCTCATACCAGGCTTACCCGACAAACAGCATGCCGCGCAGCTCCAGACGGAGGAGTTCGTTGACGAGCACATCCTGGAGTGGCTTATGAACCCTGAAGTTGCCACGCTGCCTGTTGCGGAGTGGCCGCTGGACCCTCCTCGCGCCCGAGTCAATTGCGAGAGGCTCGAGGACTGGTACGAGGTCGCGGAGCACTTGATTGGCCTCGGCATTTTGGGCGTGGTCGACGAGGCGGACATCTTTGCGCCGCGGGGCCAGAAGGTCTTCAACGGCCTGTTCGCTCGCGAGAAGAAGGGCAAGCCACTCGAGGGCCAGTCGAGATGCACGCGCCTCATCTTCAACATGATACCCTCCAACGCCTACCTCCGCAACATCATTGAGGACACGTCGACTTTGGCGGCCTCCACTTCATGGACCAGCCTCCACTTGCCAGCAGGATGTGTCATGGTGTGGAGCAGCGACGACCAGAAGGGCGCCTTCTATGTGTGGAAGTTGCCGCCAGCCTGGCATGGCAGAATGGCCGTCTCGGTGCCCGTGCCAGCGAGCGCTGCTGGGTTGCCTGGAGACCACCTAGTCTACGTGGCGTTCCGCGTCATCCCCATGGGCTGGGTCCTCGCAGTCACCCTCTTCCAGCACCTGCACCGCCGCCTGGCCTTGCGAGCACCGCGTCTGGGAGCTGGTTTGCCTGCAGGAGCGGAGTGGAGGCGCGATCAGCCTTGGCCGCTGGCGAAGCAGCATCCTCGCGCGTGGTGGCAGGTCTACATCGATGACTTTGATGCGCCCGAGGTCCTGGAGGCGGCAGAGGCGCATCGAGACGTGGGCACCCCAGGCGAGATGCAACTCGCCATGCGGCGCGCCTTCACCCAGGCAGAGGTCGCCTACGCGGAGGAGAAAAGCCACGCACGGCAGTTGCAGCTCGAGAGGATGGGAGCGTCCATCGACGGCTGCGCGGGTACGATCAGGGCCCCTGCCGACAAGGTGATCGAGCTGGTCCGCTACATTCTGTACGCCCTGGGCCGCGAGTACTGCCCGTGGCTGCTTATGCTCACGCTGCTGGGCCGCGCCGTTCGGGCCCTGGAGTTCAGGCGGCCGCTACTGAGCTGCCTCAACTCGGTCTGGGAGTCCTCCACCAGGACGAGAGGCGGACGCATCAACATGGGCATGAGCCAGGAGCTGCTTGTGTGCATCGGGTACCTGCCTATCGCGTGCACCGACCTTAGGGCGGCGCTGTCGCCAGTCGCCACCGTCTCGGATGCCTCGGAGGCTGGAGGTGGAGTGTGCGCCTCCACTGGCCTCACGCCCTTGGCAGACCAGCAGCTCAGGGCCGCCCGCCAGGGAGCTAGGCCGGTGCTGGGGCCAGGCCGCAGCGACCTGCAGCCCGCACGCAGCTCCCCGTCGCTGCCAGGGGGGCGGCCGCGGCCCAGGGTGCTCATCGTGAGCCTCTTCGACGGCATCGCCGCGCTGGCTGTGGCAGTGTCCAGGCTGCCAGTCGACATCATCGGCATGGTGTGCAGCGAGGTTGACAAGCCTGCTAGACGAGTCGTGCGACTCCGATGGCCTGGAACCGCCGACTGGGGCGACATCCGATCGATCTCCGAGAAGGACGTCGTTAAGCTAGCTGACACCTACTACGGCCTGTGCGACGTCTGCGTCTGTGGATCGGGCAGTCCTTGTCAGGACCTCAGCGCAGTCAACTTGTCGCGGGCGGGCCTGGCTGGCCCCAGTTCGAAGCTCTTCTATGAGATCCCGAGGGTCCACGGTCTCCTTCGTAAGCACTTCAAGGAGAAGCTAGCCACCTTTGTTGAGAATGTTGCCTCGATGAGTCCGCAAGTGAGAGATGCTATCACGAAGGAGCATGGGGTCCCGCCAGTCAAGCTATGCTCCTCTATATTTGTTCCTGCTCGTCGGCCGCGTTACTACTGGTGCATCTGGCCCGTACAGACTCGCGGGGAATTCGCAGTCGAGGTGCCGCGCCAGCCCAGCGGGTCACCCCAGGTCGTGCGCCGAATCAGCGGTTCAGTCGCCCCCCTCCAGTGGGTCGCTGCTGGCTGGACCTGGGGAGGCGGTGCTGCTCCAGTTCCGACGCTTGTGTGCCCGCGGCCTGCCTCAAGTAGACCTGCGATGCCTGCAGGCCTCCGCTCTGCTTCAGACGCTGCAAAAAGGAGGTGGGAGCAGGACTGTTATCGCTATCACTTGGGCTGGTATGAAGAGACCTCCATGCTTCGGAACGATTTGGATGGGAGCCTCCGCACGCCTAACCCCGAGGAGAGAGAGGCTCTGCTGGGATCCGACAAGCATTACACAAGGGTTGCCCACAAGGACCCTGAGGCCCAAGGAGTTGCTGACACGAGGAGCTTTCTCTTGGGCAACTCTTATTCAGTGTATTCGGTCTCCTGGCTCCTCCAGTAGCTGTTTCTGGCTCGAGGACTTCTTGCTCGCGAGCTACCTGCTGAAGCTCTGTTCGCGCGGGGGGCGTGCCCGCTGGCCTGGGGCGAGGTCGGCACCTACACGAAGGGCGCAGCCGAGTACGACAAGAAGCTGGCCTCAGAGTTCACAGGCGAGTTCTTGGCACTAAGTGATCGCAGTGGGAGCGACATTCGCCTAGACGTGGGCCTGCCTTATCGACCGAAGGCGTGGCCGCGGGCGAGCATCAGCCCCTTCAACTGGAACTGGAGAGTCGTGGTCTCGCTGAGGTGGCAGGGCAGCATCGACCTCCACATCAACGCCCGTGAGCTGCAGGCGGGAGTGGCAGCCCTGCTGTGGAGGACTCGCTCCACCAAGCACCTCAGCGCCAGGTTTGTTCATCTGTTTGACTCGCAGGTAGTGGCAGCGATCACTACGAAGGGCCGGTCGTCCAGCACCAGGCTGCAATGGCTCCTGCGCAAGTGGGCCGCCCTCTGCGCGGCGGGAGGCCTCTACCCCATCATCGGGTACATCACGACCGAGGACAACCCCGCCGACGCGCCCTCCAGACGCCAGTGGAAGGCGGGGGGGCCAGGGCAGCCATTCCGACAGCCCCAGAAGGTCCGCAAGCACTCCTTCAAAAGGCGAGGAAGGCACACTCAGCGAAGCGTGGTACTCGGTTGAAGCTGCTCCGAGTCACCTCCACCACGCTCCACCGCTACAGAGCAGCAGCCAAGCGCGTCCTCGATTTTTGGGATGCCGTAGGCCTCATGCCCTCAGGACCGCTGGACACCGACGAGGGCATCGCCGAGTACATAGAGATGCTCTGGAGCGAAGGCCAGCCTGTTAGCCTTGCCAACTATGCGGTCGCTGCGATAGGCTTCTTCTTCCCCTCAGTCAAACAGAGCTCGGGGCTGTCATGGAGTCTGCTCAAAGCTTGGAGGCGATGCGAACCGCCTGTTCGCGCCTTGCCGTTCACGCCAGAGCTCATTCTGGGGATGGCCGCCCTCGCCATCGAGTGCGACGCTGTGGATATCGGCACCCTCCTAGCATTGGGTTTCGCAGGTCTGCTGCGCACCATGGAGCTGTTCACATTGTCCAAGCAGCAAGTTGCGATTATCAATGACAGAGTGATTGTCCGCTTGCCTGAGACCAAAACAGGGTACCGCAAAGCCACTACCGAGATGGTCGTTGTCGACTGCCCCATCGCCTTAGATCTAGTCAAGCGCTGGTATGTACACGCAGCGCCTCCGGACACGATCAGCACACGGTCGCCAGCGCAGCTTCGCAGTTGCCTGAAGAAGTTGCTGGCATTCTTTCACCTCGAGGATTTCCGCTTCTCCTGGTACTCATGCCGTCGTGGTGGTGCCACGTACGACTTCATGTCGCATCAAAGTATGGAGATAACGATAATGAGGGGCAGATGGGGTTCAGCGACGACCGCAAAGATTTACATCGAGCAGGCGGTTGCAGACATAGTCCAGGCCACTCCTGCCCCAGATGACCATATGTTAATCCAACACTTTGCGCGTGGTCTCTATCAGTCAATTGTTGCAAGAGAAAGTCAGAGCAGGTGTGGTACGCTGTGAGTGAGATCTTGAGACACGACACGTGAGTCCTCCCGTGCCAATTTTTGTGAGTCCGTGGAATACCCCCACGCTGTCTAGAGGCTAGCCACCTGTCCGCTCCGATCTAGCCCTCCTCAGGCCTCGGCGTCCCTCGGGGTCCCCTGGGTCGTGCTTCCTGGACGGGAGTCTTTCGGGTCCCCCTAGGGCCTCGACCTTGGGGTATCCTGCAAAGAGACTCCTTGGGTGTCCTCGGGGCTGCCTGGAGGTCTCCTGAGGTCTCGGGGGTAGGTTTCGAGCGGTGAGGGGCCTGGCGCATGCCTCTCCAGCTGGTGGTTGCTAGCGACGCTAGCCACAGACCCCTTGGCGTGGGAAGGTAAAGTGAAAGGGTTATGAGCAGTTATCGGGACGATTGTAACATAACGCTCGGAAACCGAGAAACGCCGCATCCTTTCGTAGATCTCTTTGTGGTTCCCGCCCGCGCCACCCTATAGTAGTGCCTGGCCTACTTCGTGGATGCGAGGCGTTTTTACCCCCACGCTGTCTAGAGGCTAGCCGCCTGTCCGCTCCGATCTAGCCCTCCTCAGGCCTCGGCGTCCCTCGGGGTCCCCTGGGTCGTGCTTCCTGGACGGGAGTCTTTCGGGTCCCCCTAGGGCCTCGACCTTGGGGTATCCTGCAAAGAGACTCCTTGGGTGTCCTCGGGGCTGCCTGGAGGTCTCCTGAGGTCTCGGGGGTAGGTCTCGAGCGGTGAGGGGCCTGGCGCATGCCTCTCCAGCTGGTGGTTGCTAGCGACGCTAGCCACAGACCCCTTGGCGTGGGAAGGTAAAGTGAAAGGGTTATATATATGTATGTATGTATGTATGTATGTATGTATTTGTATAAACATATATATATATATATATATATGTACATACATACATGTATGCATGCATGCATGCATGCATGTATGTGCGCATGCAAACATACATACCTATGTATACACATACATACATGCATGCATGCATACATGCATGCATGCCTACATACATGCATGCGTACATACGTACATATGTACATACAGACAGGTAGACAAGCATACACACACATACAGATGTGTATGTCTTTTATGTACACGCACACACATACATACATATACACATGCGTGTATACATGCATGGCAAACAAGCAAGCACTAAAACTGCCGAAAATCCAACTGGTTTAAACCAAATTGAGGTGCCGTAGTCGGCGTTGTGAGGGAACTCGTCGATGTCGGCCAGAGATCTGGGGCCCCCGAGAGAGAGGGGGAAAAAAAAACGAAAACAGACAACAACAACAACAACAAACTCAAAAACAACAAGAACAACAAGAACAACAACAACAATAACAACAACAACGACAACAAAACGAGCTCCCCGCTCGCGCCTCTGCGAACAACGCAGACGTCGAGAGCCTATGCCCGGGGAGACCAGTTCAAGCATTTTTTCGCTTGGGGGGCGCAACGCCAATGTGGCTCGTCGAGGTCGGGCTAGAGCGGGCTGCGCAATAGCTGGCTGCACCTGCACGATGAGTGGCTCGGGTAAGAGAGGAGGCCGCGGAGGGAGAAGGAAGGAAGGGGCGTACTCAGACGGTGACCATCTTCGTGAGCGGTGCTGGTCGTGCGAAGTAGCTGACGACGCCGATGCAGAACATGGAGTGTCAGGGTAGCCAAAGTCCGATGCACTCTGGACCAGTCGAAGCCCAGCAAGGAGGGCCGAGGCGGGTCGGCCAAACTTAAGCACGCAGGCCGCTGCTGCCGCATCGCATGCAGCAATCGGCAAGCCACGCACCAAAGGTCAGACTTGCCTATGCCCACTCGTGCGCGTAGCCGGGTGGAGTTTCCAGGCCCCAGGGTTGTCAGAAACGATTCGGGATGAAAACCCTGCTCTGGGGGAAGGGGTCGGGAATTGGCACGTCGAATGTTTTGCCGTTGAAGGTCCAACAAGGGAGACGCATTCCGCCTCCACCCATGTTGCTTGTAGATCACTGTTCCCGGTCGCACCACCACACGTGTCGTAGGGGCGGTCTGGGCGTTTCGCTTAAAATTGAAATTTGAAATTCCTAACAGTTACGCGGAGTGAGGGGGGGCATGTTCAAAATGGGGCCTTCGCCTTAGCATCGCGCACCAAGCAGATCGTTTGCAAAGTGGGACTGCCACCCTGGCGCCGCACACACTCGTCCAATTCCAAACGAGCGGCGTGAAGTGCTTAGCCCGAAGGGCCTTCCACCTCCCCGCCCTAGTCGACGGCGCGCCGAGGGGGGAAGTGAGAGGGGGCAGGCCGTCTCAGAAGGCGGCGGGGCTTCTCAAAAGCCCTCCGGCCTTCTCAGAAGCCTGTTGTGGTTTCGGAGACGGTTCAGAAAGCTGCTCAGCAGGCCGAAGGCCTTCTGAGCCTTCCGGAGTGGCCCGCCCCCTCTGCGGGGCGCACCGCCGCCTCTGATAAGGCCTGCCCTCTCTCGCTTTCCCTGGGATCTAACTCCTGGGAGGTCAAATTCTGAATCGGCGCTGGTGTTTCCCTGGCAGGAAGCTATCTTGAGCTCAATTCAGCTTGATCCCGGATCCGGCCTAATCCGGCTCAGTGGCCCCCTAATTGGGCTTCACAGAGTCTAATCGCTCTGACGAAGACCTCCCAGGAGTTGCCCCCTTCTAAGTTTCCCCCTCGGCGCGCCACCGACTCGCGGGGCGCCGATCCGGCGGGCACTGCTGCCACAGGTGCCCCGGCGACCTGAGCAAGCTCGACGCGGGCAGTCCTCTGGCGCAGCGCCCCCCAGCGGGCAGAAGCAAGCGAGGGGAGTGGCAAGGCAAGGTTGCGCACAGACAGCCTCCCCAGGTAGTCCTGGCTGGCCTCAGCAGGCGCCCCGAGTAGCCCCAGCTGACCTCAACAGGCCCCCCGAGCAGTCTGGGGCGGTCTCGACACCCTGGCGTCGCCTCCAGCTGCGCCCCTGGGGCGTTCCGCGCCCTGGGGATGGGGTGTTGAGACCGCCCCAGGCTACTCGGGAAGCCTGTTGAAACCAGCTGGGACTATTCGGGGGGCTTGTTGAGGCCAGCCGAGACTACTTAGAGGGGCGGGAGGTCAGAATTCGGAGGGCGGGCAAAGTCCACGCGAGCCCATACAGTGAAAGTGCGTTCAATAAGTAAACACCATCATCGTCATCATTATCATCACCCGTACTACCATCATCATCAGCAGCAGCAGCAGCAGCATCATCATCATCATCATCATCGTCATCATCGTCATCATCAGCATCAGCATCAGCATCAGCATCATCAGCAGCAGCAGCATCAGCAGCAGCAGCATCAGCATCAGCATCAGCATCATCATTAGCATCAGCATCAGCATCATCATCAGCAGCAGCATCATCAGCAGCAGCACCATCACCATCAACATCACCGCCATCATCAACAGCAGCAGCAGAACCATCATCATCATCACCATCATCACCATCATCATCATGATCATGAAGTTCCGCCACCATTTTGGATCAAGGTCGAAAAATGACTCCCTGTGCTTCGAGTTCGACCGTAGCCACAGGGACTGCTCGAATCCTGGGCACAGCTGCCCTTGCTTCGCTTGCATCTCCCACTCCGACCAGTTTGGATCCCGGTCCGCTCGTAAGCGCGATGATACCGAAGAAGATTTCTGATGATAATGGTTCTGAATCAGCATCCGGGGTGGCCAAGATGAATGAAGCCATCGCCAAGGGCAATAAATCCCTTGTTACGGTCTCTACCTTCTCTCTCTCTCTCTCTCTTGGTTTCTCTCTCACTCTCTCTCTCTCTCTTTCTCTCTCTCTCTCTCTCGATGGTCTCTCCCATCAGTGGCATGAGCGTCGACAGCAATGGCAGCAGCGACGGAGATTGTGTTGCTAAGAAGCCCTCGCCTTGCCCACGCTCGTCGCACTCGTCTCGGCTCGCTCGACTTTCTGTCCAGCGGGATATGGTTGGTTTCGGAGATGAGATCGCTCGTAAAGTTCTCTATGATGCTAGTGTGGCCGTTCTCTCGGCGCGCGCATGAGAGGAATCTTGGCAGTGATGAAGGTTACCCTTCAGACTTGCTCGAAGAAGGTAATCCGTGCGATACCCTCGGCAGATTCAGCAAGAGGGACTATCGCCCCATTCTGTCTTAAACCCTGGTAGTCCCCCTTTCAAGACGCCAGGGGGGGAGAAGCGTCTGCGTTTGAAGCCGACCAGGGATTGGAAGACTAAGAAGCAGTTCACGGTCATCGGTAAGACCCGGTCTGAGAATATTGTGAAAGATGTTCCCGCGTTTCCAGGTTCGAAGGTTGATTCGTCCGTCAGCAATTGTATCAAGTTCATTCGGATGAGATGAGTAGTGATGCGCACCACCTCTAGTGCGTTCGGAAGCCCGGTTATGTTGTCGAAGACCTTCGTGCAATTGTGTCCATTTGTCACTTCGATGACGTTGGGATTCAGGGTTAGCAGCAGGAGGTTGTAGATCGGGCCATGGCAGTCTTCTGTGCGCAGGCCTTTTCGCGGAGGCACAATTCGTCCCAGACAAGATTTCGGCAGCTACCTTCCTCCCCTTCTCCCCGAAAAACCGTTGTCCATCGTCACGCGGAATGCCCGAAGTTGGTTTGTCAGCGTATCCAGTATGAACGCCACGGCTTTTTCCAGGTGGAAGCCGTTTGTGCGGTTTCAGCAGGCGTCACCCGATTGTCTCTACTCAGAAGCCTCATGGGAACTCCGGAGATCTCGATGCTCTGCGTAAGGAATTCCCGTCGCATTCCTTCTTCCTCAACCCTCATCTTGGCGACGTTTTTGGGCATGGGGTTTCGGTCTGTTTTCGGGAAAAGCTTGTTTCACAGCTGCAAGGTTTCATTCAGAAGGCACCAGTCCCTGGGAAGGTGCCCCCTGCTCTCGAGCGGGGAGAGCAGGGTCTGCTTGAAATCGCGGCCGCTCACCTTCCGAATGTAGACGCTGGTCTCGGATACTACCGCCACTGCCACTCTTGCCTTCATTCTGTTATTCTGCCCACCGCCGCCGCCTCTCACGTCATGCCCGGAGATTCCACCTTCGCTCGCAGTGTCGAAGGTCGTTTCAACATTGATTTTGGCATTGTTGCCAGGTGTGGTATTGCGTTCACTAGAGAATGGAACACGTTCTTGGAGACTGGATTGAGCTATATCAACCATGGGATACTCGTCACGTGTGCCGTGGGTCCAGGATGGATTCGACTGCCCGTCTAGATCGGGCACTCACGGATGCCCACCATTCGGCTTTGATGGATTTTGTTGTGACGGGTGCCAGTATTGGGCTTGCGACCAGCCTCAGAAACCCTTCTGGGCGGGCAACTTCGATGGCCGCGATTGCCCTGAAGCCCCGTCGATGCGATGGCCCCCCACCCATTCCGTCCCGGATCCCCCACGCAGTCGAGTTTGGTGAGTTGCTACCTCAGATGATCGGTGCGATCGACACTGGGCCCCCGTGGCGCGCGCCAAGGCGGCGGCGCATGAGGCGCCCGCTGAATTTCGGAAGCCGATGCGATCTCGTCTCGCCAACTCTTCTCATGAGTATCTGCATCGGCGCATTGCTGCTCTTCCTGGGTCGCGCGCCGGCATCTCCTACCTCGTTGTCCGCGCCGTCCGCGCCCATCCATCTCTCACCGCATTATTTGACATCGGCGCTGGCAGTTTCTTCGATGCCCAGGGGCTTCATGCGTATAACAGACAGGTCGAATAATCAGGTCGTGCATGACGAGGAGGAGGCTGTTCAACAGACCAGCGAGTAATCCGAGCACGAGGTCGCGCGCAAGCGCGCACGCATCCCGCACAATCGCGAGCGCCGGCGCTCGTTGAATAAGTCAGTTAGGTTCGGCATTATCTCGGACGTAGGCACCTGCGCACCGCGCGCGTCGATTCAGCATGCACGGGCTGAGTTAGCTCGTCATTGGGGAAAGGTCTCTGAAGCGAAACTCGTTAATCGTTGTCTTTGGGCCACTCTCCCACCGCATACCCAAAGATGGGCGATCGCTTTCCCGATTCAGAATGGGCGGTTGACCGTCGAGACTTCGCTAAGCTAGCGGTGTCTCATGGGGGCTCTATGCCAGGTATCGATGGCGCCCCCCACAGCTGTTGGAACCACCCTGGAGCCCGGGACGTCCCACATGCGCATTGCGTCTCTCACCCCGTCAATCCGCTCCTCAACGACCTTCACAGGATGATGATGGCTTTTTTCCGCTGAAGACGATCACCCTACAGCCTTCTGCAATCCGCCCCTCCGATTGCACGCTGGCCACTTTTACTGTGGATCGCCCCCTCACGAATGTCAGTAAGGCCACTAACCTAGAATCCAAGACTGGCGGGGCACCTGGCCGCTCTATCTCGGACAGCACCACAGCGCGCGAAGGCGAAGGATTCGCTCATTAACCATGAGGCGCGTGATAATGCTGCCCAGCTATTCACGGACTTCAAAGCTGCATTCCCTAGTATGTTTATGAATGGGCGGTTTGCGCCCTTCACAAAATGAAGGCAGCTCTTTGGATTAGAAAGTTCTTCGGGAATCTAGACTCTGACAATAAGGCGCACATGACATTCTGCGGGGTCGCGTTATCCTCGTTTCTCGTGGGTCGCGGGGTTAGCCAAAGGTGCCCCGCGCCCTTGCTGCTCTTCGCGCCGGCATTCGATCTTGCTTGCGGGTGGATCATTGACACAAGCGTCCAATGCTTAGTCTTTCAGGTTACGCAGATGGCCTCAGGCTTTTGTTCGCCAATATGTTTACCGATTCGGCCCCTGCGTTTGACAATATATGCCAGACCCCATACATACTGCTATCGGGTTGGAGCTGCACTTCGGGACGTGCGTCGTCTTGGTCTGCGGGGATGTACACCTCAATCGGTTCCGTGGGCATCTGGCTGCACTATGAACCGTTGTTCGATTGTGCCGACATCTGGGCATCAGCGCGGGCCCCGATGCTCGTCTGCACTCCTTCCCTACTCAGCATGGAAAGCATTTCCTGCGGACGCGCAAGATTCGTCTGGCGGGGGCTGGTCTGGCCGAGCCCACTGCCACCTACAACATTCGTGCTGCATCGGTCCTTAGGTATGCGCTTCAGTTCCATGGGCCCACGACCCGCCTCCTTCAGCTTGATGACCGCGCGCTTCAGAAAATGCGTGCTGGCCCTCGCTGCAGCTTCGGCGGCCGCGCGATGCGCGCGCTCATCGATTCAGGATGCAACGCCCAGCGTCTGCCCATGAAGCATGTCGCCCAGGCCTCGGCATTTCGAGCTGTTAGAGAATCGAGCGATTGATGGAAGTACCAGGATAACCTGTCGGCGCTGCGCGAACAGTCTTGGGACCCCACTCCGCAAAGTCTGCATCGCGGTTAGTTCGTGCACTCTTTTCTCAGCCACATGGGAGAAGCTCGCACTGCCCTTCCCCCCGGGCACGCGCGATCTGCCCCAAGGGCCCCCACTCAGCGACACAGGCGCAGATTGCCGAATCCCCCCGGGGAGATGATCGCCCTGGAATCACGTTTGACGAAGTATCTCGTCGTGTTCTGAAAATGACCGCCCTCACCTCCCTCTTGACGTCTGGTTCGCTCCCTGCACGCTGCGGATGAAGAGCGCTTGCAATTCGGTTTCGACGTCGTTGGTGGTCGCCGTCTTACGGATCCCTTGTCGGGGGGTCTGGGCGTCTGCTCGTTCTCATTCCCGACCTAAACGCTGCCTGTTCGGATGTAGATACGGTCGGGACGACCAGTCTCACGATCTGCATTGGCCGAAAGTCTCTGGCCCCCT